GCTCCAATCTGTGCCCTGGTGGGTGGAGACTGCTCTAAGCACGGTGGACATTTGGGGGGGATGGATTTGGATGGCCTGAAGTGACGGGAGAGGACTCAGTGGGCAAAGATGGGCCCTTACCAGCCCATTTGGGCCTGTCCCGTGAGACCCAGAGTAGGAACTGGTGAAACGTCTGACAGTTGCCTGGTGCAGGCTTGCAAAGAGGTCACGGGGCAGTGGTGTGTCAAAAATGGGGACCATGAGTCTAGCTTGTGGGTCTTGTGGGTCCCTGGGGTGGGCGGCCGGCCCTGGCTATGTTTATTAACTGCTTTAAAAATGCATGTTGGCCGGCCTAGTTTTCCTGAATGCCTAATAAAGGGAAAAAACGTTTACTTAGCACCCCTGGGTCTGACGCTGAGCAGCTGAAGTTAGCAAGATCCTTCCCTCTCAGAGCTGACACAAGCCAGCAGCCAGGGAAGAAAACAATTCCTTTAGAGGCAGGCGTCATTCCCAGGTGAGAGGCAGGGGCTGAGCTTTGTTCCCTGAGGCGAGGCAGGCCTGAGGGAGCGCACCCCCCCCCCCCCCAGGGAAGGTGCCCAAGCTGCACACTGGGCTGCAGTTCCTTCCCTTTTTGGGGAGGGGGGAGCATCTCCAGCGGAGTTCAAGGCTCTGCACTCAGGAATCACTCCTGCAGGCCTCAGGGACCCCATGGGGTGTCTGAGATGGAGCCGGGGTCTCCTGTGTGCAAGACCCTCCCCTCTGTATTATTCCTCTGAACCTTTTCTTCTTTCAAGGTTTTTTGGTTTGTTTTTTGGGGGGTCACACCCGGCAATACTCAGGGTTACTCTTGGCTCTGCACTCAGGAATTATTACTAGCCGTGCTCAGGGACCCTATGGGGTGCCGGGGATTGAACCCGGGTCAGCCACGTGCAAGGCAAGTGTCCGCCCCTCTATGCTAATGTTCAGGCCCCTCTCTGGCCTCTTTCTTGATGCATGACGTGTGTACATGTCTGGGCTGAATGGGTAAGGCACGACCCAACTCCTAAGTGTTCTGACAGTCCAGTTGGCTCTCTCCGCGTCGGCCCCAGACGATGGCCACTCTGCGGTCAGCTTCAGGGCCATCTCCCCTTCTCTCTCCCTCTCCTGTTTTAGGTGTGTGCCAGATTTTCCCACTGCAGTCTGTTTTCTCTCCACTCTTCCTGGTAAAGCACACCCTGGTTCCTTTCACAGTGGGGTGGTTTTCCTCAGGCCTGTGATGATCTGGCAACTGTCTGTGAACACACACACACACACACACACACACACACACACACACACACACACACACAGAGTTCCTTAACAGAAAAATACCAGGTGCTTCCCGGTGAAAGGAACCAGGGTGCCATTTTTTTTTTTTTTTTGCTTTTTGGGTAATACCCCAGCGATACTCAGGAGTTACACCTGGCGGTGCTCACGGGACCCTATGGAATGCCAGGGATCGAACCCAGGTTGGCTACGTGCAAAGCAAACGCACTCCCCGCTGTACTATTGCTCTGGTCCTGCGCCCTGGTGATCCTGGGATCCCTGCTTCCTGTCCCCTAATGTGCCAAGCGTCAGTCATCTCCCCCAACCGCCCTGACTTTCCCCTAGGCTCACAGAGCCTCATGGCATTGCGAGTGGCCAAGGAGCGTTTTGTCAGAAAGCCCGCGTGCTTGGGAGGGAGAGCCGACTGCACTAAATGGGAGTCTGGCTTTTGGACCAAATAGCTACTTGGCCCTGGACCAATCTATTTACTCCCTGAGCCTCTTTTCTCGTCTTAAAAACTAGGCCACGGGCTGGAGTGATAGTACTGGGGGTAGGGCACTGCCTTATGAGTGGATGACCTAGGTTGGAAGGATTCCCAGCACCTCATGCAGTTCCCTGAGCCCACCAGGAGCGATCCCTAAGCGCGGAGTCAAGAGTAGGTGTGGGGTGGGTCCCAAACCAAACCAAACCAACCCAAACAGCCCCAGCAGGGGAGGACACCCGGCGAGGCATTCGAGAGCTTGTGCTGGCAAAGACTTCTTTTCCTGTGTCCGAGTGATGAGGGCAGGTGGGACTGCATCTCCGAGGGAATCAGGGCTCCAGCCAGGGCCACAGGGCCCAGGGATTGTCTGTGCGGGCGGCTCTCATGCTTCCCAGTCTCCACTCATCCCTCCCAGCTTGCTTCCCGTGGCCCCCTGGGATGATCTGGCTGGTCTGGGCGATGGCATTCTGTCTGGCAACATCTGCTTCCAGCTGCCTGAGTCTCCTGACCCTTCAGGTCCACACTCTGACCTATCGCTCCTATTTCTTCCGGGGGCTTCAGGGGCTGAACTGGGGGCCTCATGCCAGGCACATGCCCCACTCCCTGAGCTCTCTCCCCTGTACTCCTAACCCTGCTCCACACCTATATATATATATTTTTTGCTTTTGGGGTCACACCCTACGATGCACAGGGGTTACTCCTGGCTCATGCACTCAGGAATTACTCCTAGAGGTGCTTGGGGGACCCTACGGGATGCTGGGAATTGAACCCGGGTCTGCCGCATGCAAGGCAAATGCCCTACCCGCTGTACTATTGCTCCAGCCCCGCACCTATTATTATTATTATTATTTTGCTTTTTGGGTTACACCCAGCGATGCTCAGGGGTTATTCCTAGCTCTGCGCTCAGGAATTACTCCTGGTGGTGCTTGGGGGACCATATGGGATGTTGGGGATCGAACCTGGGTCGGCCGCGTGCAAGGCAAACACCCTACCTGTTGTGCTATCGCTCCGGCCCCAATTATTTCTTAAATCTTACTGTTTTGCAACTCATTGTAAAACCTATAGCACTGTAGCACTGTCCTCTCATTGTTCATCGATTTGCTTGAATGGGCATCAGTAACGTCTCCATTGTGAGACTTCTTGTTACTGTTCTTGGCATAACGAATACATCATGGGGGAGCTTGCCAGTCTCTGCCATGTGGGCGGGCTACTCTCGGTAGCTGGCCGGGCTCTCCGAGAGGGGTGGAGGAATTGAATCCGGGTTGGCTGTGTGCAAGGTGAACGCCCTATCTGCTGTGTTATCACTCCAGCCCGGACTAAAAATAAGAGAAAAAAAAATTCTGGCTAGGGAACCTGGGACTGGAGCGATAGTACAGTAGGATGTTGCCGGGTTTGATCTATTTCTACATGCTATGACATTTAAAAGGCATGGCATTTAAAAGGCCCTGCCTAGGTTGCTCCCAAGCGATCATGTTTTCCCTCCCAGCATGCAACCTGAGGGGACAATGATGGCTCCCTGGGCCCCACAGAGGGCCTGGCACGGGGTATCTGCAGGAAGAACGAGTGACTTCAAACTCTTTTACAGGGGGCTGGAACGATAGCACAGCGGGTAGGGCACTTGCCTTGCACGCGATCAACTCAGGTTCGATTCCCAGCATCCCAGATGGTCCCCTGAGCACTGCCAAGGGTAATTCTGAGTGCAGAGCCAGGAGTAACCCCTGGGCAGCATCACCAGGTGTGACCCAAAAAAAGAAAAAAAAACCCAACTCTTTTACAGCTGTCATTTCATGTGTTATTTTATGAACTAATCCCCAACTTAATGAAGGTGAAGCTGCTCTTGTGTGGGACTGGCCATGGATGGACAAAGCTGCCTCGACTTAGTCCACGAGCTCCAAGCTCCAAGGGGCCTGGGCTGAAACCATTACTTCCCAAACACCTCCCCCAGCCCGAGTCGAGGGAATCCTTCTCCGTCCATACCCACGATTTATCTAAAGCTCACCAGGGATGAACCCCACGCCTGTGACCTGGCACGACTGAAAAGTTATGGATGATGGGACTAACTAACCCTCATGGTGAGGGTCGGGGACAGTGAGTTTCCTTTTGGTCACTATTCCTGAGCAGCCCATCAGCTTCTGGAGTGCGAGTTTGGGGAGAACGGAAAGAGCAGTTTGCCCACCTACCCCACTGAGACCACCCACCCCCGCTCAGCCCGATGGGCCCTCCCTGGGCAGATAGATCCTGGAAGGGGGAAGAGCACAGACCGAGGTGGGGGGGGAGGAGGGGCCTGCACCCGCTCACGTTTCCTGCTGCGACACTGCCCTCCTGTGGCCGAGGCCGGCCTCCAAAGCCAGGAGCCAGAGCCACGAGCCTCCAGTTACGGGTCACTGGTAGGGGACACTCTGGGTTCAGGGGACGGTACGGTGCTGTGTCCTGCATGCGAAGCGTGTGCTTGGCCCACTGAGTTCTATGTCTGGCTCTTTTTTTTTTTTGGTGGGGGGGAGTTATTTTGGGGTCAGGGCTTACTCCTGGTTCTGCACTCAGGGATCACTCCTGGTGGGGCATGGGGAACCATATGGGGGATGCCGGGGATTGAACCCGGGTCGGCCCTGTGCAAGGAAAACGCTTTCTCCACTAGACTATTGCTCTGGTCCCATGTTTCCACCACGCCCCTCACCCCACTTTTTTTTTGCAGTACCCCAGCTGGTGATGCTCAGGGCCACTCCTGTCTCTGTGTTCAGGGGTCACTCCAGGCGGTGTCTGGGGGACCGTGGGGTGCCAGGGATCAAACTGAGGCTTGCTGCATGCAAGGCAAGAGCCGTAACCCTGTTCTAGGTCTCCAATTTCCCCAAATGCTTTAAAAAGAGAAAAATGTGGGGCTGGAGCAATAGCACAGCGGGTAGGGCGATTGCCTTGCACACGGCCGACCCGGGTTCGATTCCCAGCATCCCATATGGTCCCCCGAGCACCGCCAGGGGTGATTCCTGAGTGCAAAGCCAGGAGTAACCCCTGAGCATCGCCGGGTGTGACCCAAAAAGCAAAAAGGAAGGAAGGAAAGAAAGAAAGAAAGAAAGAAAGAAAGAAAGAAAGAAAGACAGACAGACGTCACAGGGGCCAGCCCAGGCACCTGGCGCTGTGGAGCATGGTGGCACTTGGCCACGGGAGCTGCATGGCCTGGGTCTGTGCCGTGTCACTGGACCGATGGCCCTGACCCCCGACAAACTTCTTCTGAGGTTCACCACTGACCACGAAGAGGATCTGAATGAGCCCCGTGGACACTTTATTCATACTGGGAGGGGCAGGGTGGGGCGTGATGGAGGCCCCCGGCCCCGGAGAGCAGGAGCTCAGGGCTGGTCTGAGCCCGGGGGTCGGGGACGGAGGTTCAGCGGCGCTGCTCGAGCAGGTACTCCAGGTCCGGCGCGCGCAGCCTCTGCTCCTTGTTTTTGTTTTTCGCGAAGTCTCTCAGCAGGTCCAAGACCTCGTTTTCAAAGATTTCTGGGGCCGGTTTTGCTTCTGCAGAAGAGAGGACGGAAGGCAGGGTCAGTGCCGTGCCGACACACATCTGAACGGAGAACCTTGGCCTGGCAGGCACCACCACAGGCATATCCGATGCGTGCGTGCCCACACCCCACCCCGTGTACACACACACATACATTCCGGGAGGCAGGTGCAATGGTTACACATGTGCACGCACTCCCCCTCCCCCACTTTGTATGGCAGTTACACAAGTGCACACAACACACACCCCCTACACACACATTCCAGTAGGCTTATACAATAGTTACACACGGGTACACATATACCCCATACATACACACACCTGTAGGTATATATGATGGTGGTTACACAAGCACACACACACACACACACACACACACACACATCCCAATAGGCATATACTAGTTACATCCCATATACATCCACACCCATCTACAGCCAAAAACAATGGTGGTTGCACGTATGCAAGCATGTGTTCACACACATGCACGCGCACACACATACACACACACACATCTGAAGGCATTACAGTGGCAGTTACACACGTGCATATGAGCACATGCACACAACCCTCTTTGTCAGCATTTTTCCAAGTACAAAAATTGTGGTAAAATGGTGAAGCACTTACATGGTTAGCACTTTTCATTTATTTATCTTTTTTTTTTTTCTGTTTGGGGTCATACCCGGCAATGCACAGGGGTCACTCCTGGCTCTGCACTCAGGAAATACTCCTGGCGGTGCTCAGGGGACCGTATGGGATGCTGGGAATCCAACCCGGGTCGGCTGCGTGCAAGGCAAATGCCCTGTCCGCTGTGCTATCGCTCCAGCCCCTATTTATGTTTGGCTGTTGGGGCCATACCCGGCAGTGCTCAGGCCTTACTCCTGGCTCTGGGCTCAGGGATCGCTCCTGGCGGTGCTTAGGGGACCACACAAGGCATTGAACCCGGGTCAGCCGCATGCAAGGCGCATGCCCTAGCCACTGTACTATCGCCCCAGCCCCATGAAATTTTTATGGGACCTGCCTAAACTAAGGTAGACTCACTTTTTTTTCAAGCCAATGCTTTTTAAAGACATCTTTTTAGATCATAATCTAAACTCTGATGGGAAGGCGGGGCCTGGGAGCCGCTTCTGGTCGATGCTAGGTCAGCCAGGTCAAATGACCCGCGGATGCCATGCCCGGGTTCTCGGGGGCTACACCTGGCGATGCTGAGGGGCTGTGGGGGCCACAAGGCGCTGGGGAATTGAACTGGGGGTGTGAATGAGCTCCCAGACCCCCGTGTTACGCCCCCCCCAAGCCCCACAACTGTGACTTGCACATGCCGAGAAAGCTTCGAGAGCTGCAGTCCTTCCGCACACTGCTCGTTGGCACCCCGGGGGGCTGGGGCTCGCCACCTTTCCAGGAGTTCCCAGCCTCCAGGGTCCCCCCCATCCTCCCCTCCACCGACCTGGCAGCTGTTCCGGCCGGACCCAGAAACGCCGGCCCACACAGCCGGTCTCTGCCGGCCGCCGTGCACAAACAGCTGCTCTTGTCCTTGACATATTGTCCACGGCCACCTCTGTGCGAAGCCGGCGGTGGGGCCGAGCGGAGACCAGATGGCCACGGGGCAAGGCGGCCTGTTTTCCTCTCTGGTCTTTTATGAGCCAGTGCGCTGACCCCCGTGCCGGAGGAACCTCGTTCCACATTTGGCGGCTAGCTGTTTTCTGCCACCCGGGAAACGTTCCCCTGAGGCAGAGGACCTTAGCTTTTAAGTGACAGAGGCCAGTAATTCAAGTAAGCCCAAGCAATAAAGAACTGAATGAGAAGGCGGTAAGAAACATGAGCCCTGGGGGCTGAAGCGATAGCACGGCAGGTAGAGCGTTTGCCTGGCACGCGGCCTCGCACACAGCCGATCCGGGTTCGATTCCCAGCATATCCCATATGGTCCCCCACGCATCTCCTGGAGCAAATCCTGAGGGCAGAGCCAGGAGGAACCCCCTGAGCATCACTGGGTGTGAATGACCCGGTGGGGACAAGGGCGCCCAGAGCAAAATGAGGGCAATGCCAGGCAGCCCCGGGCTAGCACTATACCAGGAAGCTGGCAGCTGCCATCACCCGAGGTTTTGAATCCCAGCGATGCCTCGCACTCGAAAAGTGGAAGCCAAAGCCGAGTCCTCTGGAAAGGCCCTGCCATCAAGACTGACACTGTGGGGCCGGAGTGATAGTCTAGTGGGGAGGGCATTTGCCTTGCACAAAGTCAACCTGGGTTTGATCCCCGGCATCCCATATGGTCCCCAGAGCACCACCAAGAGTACGTGAGTGCAGAGGGGGGAGGGGGGAGGAGGAAGAGTGGGGGAGGAGGAGGAGGAGGAGGAGGAGGAGCACGAGGAAGAAGAGGAGGAAGTAGAGGAAGAAGAGGAGGAAGAGGAAGAAGAAGAGGAAGAAGAAGAGGAAGAGGAGGAGGAGGAGGAGAAACTAAGGATGGGAGTCAGGGAGGGAGTGGAGAGAGATATGGCATTTACCCAATCATCCCACCCCGCCCCCATGAAAAAAAATAATAAATGAAACCGAGGGAGGGAAAGGCCTGCAATAAGAAGCTGAACAGGGCACCAGAGGGCAGGACCCACCCAAGGAGATGACCTAGGTAGGGCAAAGAGCCAAGAACAGCGCAGTAAAAACAAACAAATAAACAAACAAACACAAAAAAACAACCATCTTATGTGGTGTCGGGGATTGAATCGGGGTCTCAGGCACCCAGGGCGCATACCTGGCCAGTGAGCGGCGCCCCTGGCCTAGAGCAAACACCAGTGCCTGGGCAGCTGAGGCCACGCAGGGGTGAACCACCCAGCTGCCGGTTGCTCTTCACAACCCCCAAAATTGTCGCCCTGGAGTAGGCTCTGGTCAGAACAGGAAAGGGGACAAGTCTGACGACAGAAATGCCCAGAGCCTGGCCTGGCCCCTCTCCTCCATGGCACCCAGTGAGGAATCGGAGCACGCCCCCGCTTCTGCCCCATGGTGCTGAGGAAGGAGACCCCCATGGACGGCTGCCTCCAGCACCAGGCCAGGCCGGCCCAGGGCTCTGTGTCAGGAGCCCAGAGATTTCCAAGCACAGGAAGTCTCAACAGGACTCAACAGGAAGGTCCCAGGTGAGGAGGGGGCATGAGCAGGGTGGCACCCTTTGTGGGGATGATTTCACTGGGGTGACACCAGGCCATGCAGTGCCGGGATGGAACTCAGGGCTGGGCCTACACGCCACCAGGTGTTCGGACACTTGCGTCCTCTCCCAGCCCTAGGTCCTTTGGAGGGACGAAACCACCGACAGGAGGAGGAGGACAGGGAGGAGGAAATGTCAGACCATCACATTGACGCCCTCCCTGGAACTGCAACCCTGATGGAGAGGCTCAAGGTTCTACAAGCCACAAGGGATGGGGAGCGAAGGGATCCCAGCAGGCCTGGAAAGGGCGAACGAGAAGAGCGACAGAGGGAAATGCAGGCGGCGACGCAGCTCACAGGGCAGAGCACACACCGAGTGAGACTAACACCCCAGCAACAATCGGGTTCAGGTGTGAGGCCCTGAGTTCAGCCCCCGGTGCCATGTGTTCCCACCCCCGAGGCCTCCTGCCCCCATTGGTGCAGGGACACTGAGTGCATCCTGGAGGCCCTGAGCACCTCTGGGAGTGGCCCCTAGCAAAAACGAAAACGGGGAGGTGGTGGCAGAGGAACCCCCAACCTTACTCCTTCTCTGACAGCGCCCCTGAGCAAAGAGGCGTGACAGGTTAGCCCGGCGGGATGTGGCCTCAAAACCCCAAAAACTCCAAGCCCACACCCCCAACTCGCCACTCTCTCCCTTTCCCATGGTGGCAGATCTCCCAACACCTCTCCACATACAGAAGAGATTCTCCGCCTCCTTCCTGGGGGCCAGGTTGGAGGAATGGGACCAAGCCATGGCCGCTCTAAGGGAAGACCAGCACACGGTTCCCTGGGGAGGGGCCAGAAACCAGCGGGGAGACTGCATGAGGAGAGAGCTCAGGGCCAGAGCGTGTGCTGTGTCTGCCTTGAGTCCCCCAGGCACCCCTGGGTGTGGCCGTCAGTGGCTCCCCGTGCTGCCAGGCCCAAGCAGTCCCCATGTGGCCTGCAATGCCAGGAGGTATTGCCGTCTGCTCCCCTCACTACTGCTGAGGAGGCCTCCACGGCCCCTCCCAAAGGATGCAGTGCGCTGCCTCTTCTTTCCCTCGCCTGTCACCATGGGGCTGGAGTGATAGCACAGCAGGTAGGGTGTTTTCCATACACGCGGCCGACCCGGGTTCGGTTCCTCCGTCCCTCTGGGAGAGCCCGGCAAGCTACCGAGAGTATCCCGCCCGCACGGCAGAGCCTGGCAAGTCCCAGTGGCGTATTCAGTAATGACAAGTCTCACAATGGAGACATTACTGGTGCCCGCTCGAGCAAATTGATGAACAACGGGAGGACAGTGCTACAGAAAGGCGTCATGGCCCATGAGACAGGTGACACTTGGGGGCAAAGGGACAGTCCACGGAGAGGCCGGAAGCCTCTGATTCTCCTCCAGCTCCTCTCAAGTACCTACGTCGAGATCATACGAGACCAGAAGGACGGCTGCCCGGGGAAGCCACTGCCGTTTCAAATTTGAGTCCATACCTCACCGACGTGGACCCCAACCTCACAGCCATGGACTGTTGGTCCACCAGGTGGCACCAGGGCACTCAGACACACCGGGCTAGTGGTGTGGTTCTGCTGGGTTTTCTTTTTTTTTGGGGGGGGGGGGTCACACCCAGCAATTCTCAGGGGTTATTCCCGGTTCTGCACTCAGGACTTACTCCTGGCAGTGCTCGGGGGGACCATCTGGGATGCCAGGGATCGAACCCAGGTCGGCCGCGTGCAAGGCAAACGCCCTACCCGCTGTGCTATTGCTCCGGCCCCTCTGCTGGGTTTTCTTTACCGGCTCCCACCCCCTTTGCCCACTGTTGAGTTCCCCACGTTCAATTCCCGGTGGGCCTACGACAGAATAGATTTTCCCTGCTTGCAAAGAAAAGAACACCTACTAGTTTTAGACACTTTTTTTTTTTGTTTTGCTTTGTGGGTCACACCCAGCGATGCTCAGGGGGGTTACTGCTGGCTGTGCACTCGGGAATTACTCCTGGAGGTGCTTGGAGGACCACATGGGATGCTGGGAATTGAACCCGGGTCGGCCAAGTGCAAGGCAAATGCCCTACCCGCTGTGCTGTCACTCTGGCCCCTTACACACTCTTTTGGTTGTTATTTTTGTCTTTGGGCTACACCCGGCTGAGCTCCGGGCTTACTCCTGGGGGGCTCTGGGGACCATACAGGGTGCTGGGGATCAAACCCAGGTCAGCCACGTACAAGCTGAGCATCCTACCCGCTGCGCTACCAGCTCTGGCCCCAAGATCGCACACGTTGGAGAAATGGGGAGAGCGTTGGGGCTGGACGTCCGCGTGTTGCCCTAGGCTGCGTGCCCCGTACCTGTAGCCCAGTAGTAAATGTCCCAGTCATTACTGGGCTCATTGATCAGGCGATCGTAGAGATTCAGCTGTTCCTCCGTCATGCGGTGCAGATGCTCCTTCGCAAACAGGCTGGAAACACGAGTTGAAAAAGCTGTGTCTGTCTGTCAGTCCGTCTGTCTGTCTGCTCCCCGCCCAGCCTCCTCTCCCCTACCTGAGCAGGATGCAGTTCTCCAGCATGCCTCTCTTCCTGCTCTCGTACAGCAGGCGGGCTCGCTTGGTCTCTATGGGCTCGTCCGTTCGCTCCTCCCACGGAGGCAGCGGGATTTCAATCATGTCTTTCTGAGAATCTGTGGGGCTGTCGCCCCTGTAGAAGCGCTGGAACGACGTCGAGGGGGGCCGGAGGTGGCGCCGTGACAGGACGAGCATCTGAAACAAATCAAGCACAGGCATCTTTGGAATAACGGCCAGGGGCTCTGGTGCCCCCCGACAGGCCAACCTGTACCTGCGGGGCGAGTGCATCAGCAGCCTGATGGTGCTTCCGGCTTCCTGACACCCCAAAATTGCTGCTGTGCCTCTGGCCAGACCCCCAACAACCTGGGACCAAGTTCACCAAGAAATTAAACGGCCAAAAGCTGGGTAGGTAGGAGCCACACCCACAAACCACCTCTGGTTCAGCTATACAAGCTCATTTATTGGCCTTATTTTCAGAGACCCTTAGACAACTCTCGAAAGAGATCAAAAGCCGCAGTTAAGCTCGGACCTGCGCATGGCTGAACAGACTGGGGTAAATTGGAGGGGGGTGGGTTGGCTGGTGGCCCACCCAAGTAGAGCCCCCATCAGCCACTTGCTTCCACAATCCAAAATCGCTGCCACATCCCCGGCTGACTCCACCATCTCAGGACAGACCGCACCAGGATATATGCTGAAAATTCTGCTATGCGAGTTTTGTGACTGAAATCTCCTTGCTTTGTCAGAATTGGGGTGGGCTACCTCCCCCCACTCCCCAATACACATGGAAGCACTGGCAGTCACCCCCACGAACCAACTCAGTGCTGGGGTTTTCTCAGAGTGGGGGGGGGCTAGTTCCCCCAACTTCCCAAAATCCCGGCAGCCACACCCACAACTGCTCCCTGGTGAATCTGTGGCCCCGCTCAATATTCTGGAGTTTCTGGACTGCCCGCCCACATTTCCAAAGTCCACAATCCTGACATTCCAGCAGGAGCACATCGGATTGGACGGGAAAGTAACAGAGAAGCCAAGTGGTCTCAATAAACAGAAACATTAACACAGAAGGCTCAACAAGCAACAGCAGCTTGGGAAACCCTCAGACAAGGACTTACTGTCCCCATGATGCAATATAACAATTTTCCCAAGTTTTCTTTTACTGAAGTTATTTTTTTAATTTTTTTTTTTGCTTTTTGGGTCACACCCGGCGATGCACAGGGGTTACTCCTGGCTCTGCACTCAGGAGTTACTCCTGACGGTGCTCGGGGGACCCTATGGGATGCTGGGAATCGAACCCGGGTCGGCCGCGTGCAAGGCAAACGCCCTACCCGCTGTGCAATCACTCCAGCCCCTACTGAAGTATTTTTAAAAAAATAGGGGGCTGGAGAGATAGCACAGCGGGTAGGGCGTTTGCCTTGCACGCGGCCGACCCGGGTTCGATTCCCAGCATCCCATAGGGTCCCCCCAGCACCGCCAGGAGTAACTCCTGAGTGCAGAGCCAGGAGTAACCCCTGTGCATCGCCGGGTGTGACCCAAAAAGCAAAAAAAAAAAAAAATTCTATTAGCCATTTATTTGTAACAAGCAATATAAAATGAATTATTTTGGACCCACTAAAGGGGCAGGCTTGGGGGGGGGGCGTTGGTTGGGAAAATGGGGATAATGGTGGAGGGAAGGTCACACTGGTGGTAGGAACTGGTGCTGGAATATTAAATGCCTGTAATAAATACATCATGAACAACTTTGTAAACCACGGTGTTTAAATAACGTGGAGGGAGAAGTTACGCTGACGGTATCCCACTACAACTAAGGAACTCAAGGCATGTTTCTATAAACACAGAAACACAACGACCAATAATGAGAGCAAGAGAAAAGAAGGGACACACAAGAAACAAGACAGAAAAGAACAAAAGAGCAAAAGAAATCCTTCTTGGATTCCCCTCCACAAGCGAAGGACAGAGTGGATGGATGAAAAAAAGAGGCAACCATATGTGTACGATTCATTTTCCCTCTTTTTTGGCTTTTGGGTCACAGCCGGAGATGCTTAGGAGTTACTCCTGGTGGTGTTTGGGGCACTATATGGGATGCTGGGGACCGAACCCCGGTCGGCCACATGCAAGACAAAGGTCCTACCTGCTCGGGTCCCCTGTCATTTTAGATGTAAGGATTCAAAAGCTGAAAGATTGGAAATGGTTATTCATGCAAATGACAACAAAGAGGTCAGAGGAAGCCTTATGTAAGTTCACCAAAGTAGATTTTCAGGGACAGAAACTGTCACAAGATAAAGCATATCATACTGGGTTGAGTCCATAAGGAAAATTTAACACTGTGTGTATGAATCTCACATCAGAGAGTATACACATATGTCAAGTGGACATTGATAGACATCAAAATATAGATTTCAACACCTCACTTTGAAAAGCGAACATAGATCACTACGAAAGATCTTACAGTGGGGCCTGGAAGGTGGCTCAGTGATTTTCGCAACTTGTCCAGCAAGTGGGAGGTGGGGAGTTGATTCTGACAAGTCACACCCGCAATGCGCAGGGGTTAACCCCTGGCTCTGCACTCAGGAGTTACTCCTGGCGGTGCTCAGGGGACCCTATGGGATGCTGGGAATCGAACCCAGGTCGGCCGCGTGCAAGGCAGATGCCCTCCCCGCTGTGCTATTGCTCCAGCCCCACACACGTCCTTTTCAAGCACTCCTGCGCCCGCTCCAGGCAGGGTCAGATGAGGTCAGCTGAGGTCACACACTAGACAAGGAGCCTAAGGACACGGAAATAACTGAGTCTCTTTACTGAGCGCGGTCTGGCTGCCACTAGAAATCAGCCTGAGGACACGGCCTGGGAAATGCAAGACCCCGGGATGCACTGAACAGCGACACGCCCCCCGGCGAGACGAGGAGAGGCGAGCCGCTCGGGGGTCCCAGCCAGCAGTTGGAGGGATGCACACGGCCCAACTGAGACACACATGACAAGGAGCTTCCGGGGTGACACGCCCGCGGCCACCAAGACCTCCCCCCTCCGGGGTCTGCTACCCGAGGAGACCTAAGGATGCAGAGGAGGAGGGGGGTGGTGGAGACCCCCGAAAGGCGGCAGGGTGACCCCCTGCATCATCTCCCCAGGGTCAAGACGCGTTTCTCCTTGGGGCCGCCCCGGTCCCGAGCACCCGGGAAGTGGGGTATGTGGGGGTGCGGCCCCTCCAGGCCTCCCAATAACCGCAGGGGGGTCCCCAAGACGGCCCGCCCCGGAGCCCCGGAACCCCGCCGCCGCCGCCGCTGCTCCTCCTCACCCGGGCCAGAGAAGGGTACGCGGCCGCCGCCAGCGCCATCTTCCCCACCTCCCCGCAGCCCCGCCCCCACCGCCCCGCGCCGGAAGTCACCGGCAGGGCCCCGCCCCCTTTCCCTTACCTCCCCCCCCCACCCCCCCCCCCACGGCGGCGGCCCCCGCGCGCCCGGGCCCGGGCCGGAAGTGACGCGGGCGCGAGGCGGAAGTGGCCGTGCGTGTGACGCCGCCGGCGGCCGGGAACGGGGGGCGGGCGCTGGGGGCCGAGAGCGGTTCGCGCGCGCTTCGGGCCTAGTCCGGACGGGCCGCCGCCGCCGCCGCCGCCGCCATATTCCCGGTAACGGGGGCGCGCGCGACCGCGGGCCGGCCGGGCCGGAAGAGGGTTGAGTTTGGGGGCGGCGGGCGGGCCGGCGCCGGGGCGGGCGGGCGGGGGCCGGGCCGGGCCGGGGCGGGCGACCGGGCTGGGGCCGGGGCCGCGCCGGGGCGTGCGGGGCGGGGAGGGGAGCGGGGGGCGGCCGGAAGCCCCGCGACTCGGGGGGGACGCGCGCGCGCGCCCGGGGCCCGCCGGCGGCTTCGAGGCCGGGGCGGCGGGCGGGCAGGCCGGGGGTCCCCGCGGGCCGGGCCGGGCTGACGGGCAGCGAGGGGTCCCCCCCGCGAGCCGAGGGGCGGGGCGGGGCGCGGCTGGGCGGGCGGGCGGGCGGGACGCGGCGGGGCCCCGGGCCCCACCCCGCCCCGCCGGGCCCGGGACCCCCAGCGCCCGCCCCGCGCTCACCCCGGTCCCCGGCTCCCGCCGCAGTGGCCGCGCTCCCGCCTTCGCCCAGCGCCCGGGCCCGCGATCGCCCCGCCGGAGCCATGTCCGAAGGAGTGGACTTGATCGACATCTACGCGGACGAGGAGTTCAACCAGGTGAGCGGGGGGCGGGGGGCGGGGGGGAGGGGTCGGTCCGGTCCGGTCCGGTCCGCTTGGCCAGAACTTTGGGGCTGGGGGGGCGCGGGGGGGCTGGAAAGAGGCTCCCCTCGGGCAGAGACTTTTCACTTTCTCCCCCTCCCCACTCCCAGGGCCCTTTCATCGCCCCCCCCCACCCCGTTCGTGGAAGCCCCCTAGGCCGAGTGTTTTTTTGTTTTTTTTTTTTCAATTTCATGCTGAAGGGTTAATTAGAGAGCCAGTAAGAACTCAGGTTTCATGGGATGGTGAATCAATCGGCCTGTGGAACTCATGCCCCTGCAAGGCCACTTCCACTCTCTTTTTTTTTTTTTTTTGGGTGGGGGGTGTGTGTGCAGGCCGGCATCCGTTATGCGCGGCGGCCCCGAACCGAACCGAACCGGGACAGCGGCCTCCCTGGTTCGTTCACCCAAGTTGCAGCGTAGAGAGCGGGCTTTCCAGGGAGCGTTCGTTCATTTATTGATTTATTTATTTATTTTTCGGTTCCACTCCCAACTGCCGAAAGTTTTCGCGTGCTATCTGTGCGTTCGTGGCTTTATAGCTGTCTTGAGCGGCATCTTGGTTTCCTTGATGCATCGTAATTGCTTCTCTCTCGGTTGAGGGGCCGAGAGGGGTAGGTGTTGGCCAAAGTAAAGCAGTTTAAAAAGCAAGTATGAACTGGTCACCCGTGGGTTCTCTCTCTTTCTCTCTCTCTATCATTTCCTTTTTTTTTTTTTTTTTTTTGCTTTTCTTTTGGGGTTGCACCCAGTGATGCTCAGGGGTTACTCCTGGCTCTGCACTCAGGCGTTACTCCTGGGATACCCGGACTCTAATCTGGGTCTGCCTTCTGCAAGGCAAATGCCCTCCCCGCTGTCCTATCGCTTCCGCCCTGAGTTTGCTCCCTTACTGTTACATCCAGGAGTTTTATGTGGCTGTTGAAATAGCAGACTTTCCTTTGCATTCCCGTTCTGAGCGCTTGAGGTCAAATAAATCTTAATGATTCAGACGCTAGTTAAGCCTTACTAATGCCCTGCCTGGCTCGTACTCGGCGTTGTACTACTTGAGTGAGCTGGTTCTTCCCGTAATGTAAGCGGGTATACGTGAGGTCTGGAAAGTGGATAACAAGGATAGGCTAGAGGAAAGTGTTCTGGCTAGACCGTTACATTTACCTGCCTTGCTGAGGACCAAACCCAGGGCCGCACACATTGAGCCCTTCCGTTCAAATACGAGACAGCAGAAAAGCCTGACACGTGCCATTGTTTTCACTTGGCATAACTTTACATGTAAACATTCATATTTGAAAGTGCAGGGTTTAGGTGCTTGCCTTCCCATGTGACTGACCAGATTCAATCCCTGGCGCCCGTATGGTCTCCTGGGCACTGCCAGGAATGATCCCTGAGCACAGTGCCAGATGTCAGCTCTGCTCACAACCAGGTATGACTATAAAGCAAAATTGTATATTTAACGCATTGTGTAATTTGACACAAGATTTTAAAAAATTAGAATAGTATAATACTGTGATGACCCTGTGCTCAGTATAGTTTTCCCAGTTCTGCTTTTCTTGGGGGAGGGGATGCACCCCTGGCCATGCTTTGGGCTTGTTCCTGACTCTGCTCAGAGATCACTCAGGGATATCTATGGTGTTAGGGACCAACCTTGGGTTGGCTGTATAGAAGGCCCTGCATGAGTGCTGTTCTGTCTCCGTAGCCCCAGCTACACTTTTTTATGTTGGGGTGAGGGGGTTGGGACTTCTTACTTCGGTCTTCTGGCTGTGCCCAGGGGTCCACTGCGCCGGCGGTGTGCAAGGCAAACTCCTTCTCTGCTGTGCTGTCTCTCTGGCCCCCAGTTACACTTTCTGCTAGCCGTTCTCCAGGTCTCAGGGATATCAGTCATTTCAATATGTCTAGTGCTTAACTTAAATATATTAAAACTTAATTTCCAACGGGGAAAAGCTATTTGAATTAGAAAAAGTTTAGTGTGTTTAGTTAAAAACAACTTCCTTTCTGAGTTTTCCATGATATTTTGAAGTCAGACTTTCACTATATTTTTCAGGCCAGGGGTGGGGGAGGCTTTGGAACCACAATGGCAGAGCTCGGGGCTTACTCCTCGCTGTCCAAGGGATCACTCCTGACAGCCCTTAGGAGATATTATGTGGTGCCAGGGATTGCACTGGGGTCACCCACCTGTAAGGCAAGTATCTTACTATCTCCGCAGCCCAGATTTGTTTCGGTTTTGGGGTCATTCCTGGTTATGCTCAGGGCTTACTCCCGGCTCTGTGCTCAGGGATCACTCGGTTGGGGCTTGGAGATCGTGCGCGGTACCGGGTATTGTACCTGGGTTGGCTGCGCGCAAGGCAGCTGCCCTCCGCACTGTCACTAGCGTTTTGGCTCTGGAAATTTTTTTTTCTTTTCACTTAAAATCAGAACAGCTAGAAAAGATTTCTTTAATTCTCATTTATCACCGTTTGGGGGAGGGGTTTGGGCCACACCCCGTAGTGCTCGGGGCTTCTTTCTCACTCTGTGCCCCGGGCTCACTTCTGACAGTTCTCCAGGGACCATGCATTATGCCAGGGATCAAAACAGGGGTCAGCGTGAGCAAGACAAGTCAGAGCCTCAACTCCCGTGCTGTCCCCTGGGTCCCTGTTTTCTGTTATAAATGAGAGCTTCCCCTTCCTCAGTCTCCTTACTGGTGGGTGTAGAACAGTGCTGTGGTCCACTTTGGGAAGTGTGTCCAGCGGGGTTCTGGACCTGCAGATAGAGCCACATTAGACTCCGCCACCCAGAATGAGATTTCATAAATTCTTTAGCAGTAGGAGTGTAGGTCGTTGAAAAGACAGGCCTTGTCTGCTGGTCACTGTGTTGATTGAGTCAAGTCTTTGGTCTCCGCAGAGTTTTTCCTCTGGTAGCCTTAGTTTAAAAGGACTTTTTAATAGGTTTCAGATAAACTGCATGGTGCAGAATGTGGTATGTGTTTACACCAGATACTGATGTCTGGCAAGTTGAAGTAAAATGTAGTTTCCTGGGTTTTTTTGGTTTTGGCCACACGGAGGTGCTCAGAGCTTGCCCTGACTCCGTGCTCAGGGCTCACTACGGTGGGCTTGGGGGATGTGTGGGGTGCCAGAGATTGAACCCGGGTCAAATGTGTGTAAGGAAAGCGCCCTGTCCGCCATACTGTCCGTCCGGCCCAGGTGCAGATTTTTGATGTCTTGTGAGAAGTCATGGGAAGGTGCTGTAAAGAAACGATACACAGCTCTGTCTGGCTCGGATTGTTAGGAGTACGCTTAAGCTGCAGACTGCCGGTATCAATCGTCTTAGAATTGTTGTGTTTTACTTTGCTTTTGTTTTGGGGCCAAACTTGGTGGTGCTTGGGACTTACTCATAGGTCGGGGACTAAGTGTGTTGGTGGTGATCAAAGCCTGGTCTGCTGCATGTGATGCAGGTGACTTTGCCGCTGTACTCTCCTGCCCCGCTGTTTAAGAATGTTTTTGTGAATGTTGATCTACCCCCAAAGTGACCTGAACACCAGAACCCCATCTTGTGTCTTTGCTCCCCATAGAAAATGAGCACGATCCCTGAGACAGAGCCCAGGGTGGCAACTTCCTGAGCTCCTAGAGTATGTGCTACAAAGGCTGCTTGATAGAGCGGCCTTAGTCGTACTCTGTTAGGAGTCTTGGGGCCTCCCAGCTGATCTCTTGGGCTGGGGAGAAGAACTCTGGAGAAGTGAGAGCCGAGACTTTGTTCCTTTTGCAAAGATGAGCACTTTGCACAGTATGCTGAGTCCTTTTTTTTTTTTTTTTTTGGTTTCGGGGCCACACCAGGTGGTGTTAAGGACTTACTCCTGACTCGCTCACTTCTGGAGGGCTCAGGGGACCATATGGGATGCTGGGGGGTCACGATGGGAGGGGTGAACCTGGAACTCACCATCTTGGATAGGAGGTGGAGCCAAACTGAGATTGGACTGGAAGCATGTAAGACAAGTCCCCGGCCCTCTGTGGTGTCTCTCCAGCTCAAGTTTGCTGAGTTCTTTACTGCCATCAGCAGATACTTATTGAGCCGTTTGCCGTCGCTAGCATGACGTTGTGTCAGAACTAGTGAGGGAAAAGGCGAAAATGGCATCTCTGTCCTGGCATGCTGCTCCCGGTGCTGAGTGGCGGTGGACCGAGAGAGCGAAGGGAAGCACGAAGTGAGAACTGGAGATGGTGATTCTAAAGCCAACAGAAAAGGATTAAAAGTTGCTTTGACAAAAATCCTAGTCTTAATTATTTCTCTTAAGGAAAGGCGTGTAGCAGAACAGCGGGGTGTACACGTAGGGTCTGTCTTATTTCTGCAAAAAATCATGCCGTTTCTTTTAGTAACCAAAAGAAGTTCACAATCTTTCTCTGCTATGTATTTTTGATGCTGGCAGTGCCGGGTCTGGGATCAGGTTCTCACATACGTGCCAGGCATGTGCTGTACCACTGAGCCACATCCTTTTTTCTTTTTTCTTTTTTTTTTTTTTTTTTTTGTCTCCCTGAAATGAAACTTTTCACTGTCAGCGCATGCAAAACATTGTATTTTCCACTTACTTTATAGAATTAGGTTTTGCTTTCACTTCTTCCGTTATTGTATAAAAAGCATCTACTCATTTGGCCAGCAATATACCTCAAGACTGTTATCAGTATTGTCAGGGGTTTTTTTTAACCAGTTGAAGAAGTAAACTGATTTGGTGTTTCTAGCAGATTTAAATCCCTGCACAACTTGATACGTTGTTTCTTCAACAGAACCCTCCTCAGGCCAGCTCTGCATCAGAACAGTTCCCACCAACTTCTTTGAGCTGAGGCTGGTGGCCCAGAGAGACCATTTGAATCTTGTGACAAGTTTGCGTTCATTGAATCGTTTTGTGGTTTCTTAAAGTGGTAAGGTAATCCGTACAGAAGGCCTTCCAGGATTGAGTCTGTCATACTCTCTGAGAGACCCTGAAAAGGTTCGCCGAGGCTGACGGTGTGT